GTCGTTGAAGATGTTGAAGTGTGTCCACTACCACCACCAGTAGCCAAAAAGCATCACTTACGGTAAGCTCTTTCTCAACTTACACCGCCGCCTTAGCCGCCGCCGCCGTTGTTTGCGTTTCTACTTTTGCTTAAAATGCTAAGAAAAAAAGCAGCGGTGTTTGCCATCGCTTGAAAAAGCAGGAACAGCGGCAGCAGCAGCAGCAAAAGAAAGGGGTAAAGGAGTGAAGGAAAAGAAAAAGAAGAACAAATGTGCAGAAGTGGTAAAGTGGCGAAGGGGAGGAGAAGGAGAAGTGTAATGACATTCAGCTAAAAACTCGAGAGGATCGTTCTCTGAAAGAAAAAAGAAGAAAAATCTCGCAGACAGTTAGACGGCCATTCACCAGCAGCAGCAGCAGCAGAACTGATGGAGGCTCTAATTACACAACAGACACTACTTACCCGCTCAAATAGAGAATGAAGCGCATTCCATTCTTCTTTTTTTCTCCTCTTCCTCCTCTTCCTTTGAATAATTCTGCAGTCTTCCCAGTGCAAACGGACACTTTTGATCGGATCGCATGATCACCGGCAATATTCTTTCCCTTCCTTCCTTCCTTCTCTCGTGCATTACATCACATCATCCCCTGCCGTTAATTGTGTTAGCCAGTCAGCAAGTGCCAGTGCTAGTAGCTACCCTCTTGGCCATCGTAAATTACCCTCACAGTCAGTGACTGAAAGGGTTACCAAGGAAGACAGCTCATGCTCACCGGCGACATGATAATTACCAACTACCACCAGCTACTACCAGAGCGCATTCAATGACTGACTGACTGACACACGGAATCGAACGAACAACAAGTGGCAGAGTGGTGGTGGTGGTGGTGGTGGATTAGCCGCCATTATCATCTTCAACGTGATGACCAGCAGCAGCAGCAGCAGCAGCAGCAGCTCAGAGCAGTGTTCAAGTTCATTGCCACCACTGACCGGTGAAAGTATAGTAAAAACTCAGTGCTCAACGACGGAAGAGTTGAGAGACTCAGAGTTGGCTGCTTGAGGCGGTCGATTACGGCGGCCACTGTGGCCACTGTGGCCACTGACCNTAAAAACTCAGTGCTCAACGACGGAAGAGTTGAGAGACTCAGAGTTGGCTGCTTGAGGCGGTCGATTACGGCGGCCACTGTGGCCACTGACCACCACCACCAGTGACTGACAAGGCACATCACACTTACAATGGCGGCGATGTCCACTACAGCTGCTGCTGCTGCTGCTGTTCCGTTGGGTCAACACACTGCCCGACACTGAGCTGAGTTGGAGTTGAAGTTGAAGGGGGAAGGCATCATTTAAAACGGTGTGCTCAGTGCACGCACCATGTCATTATCTTCTGCTGAGCTGAGCTGAGCTGAGCTGAGCTGAGCTGCACTGGACAGTCAATTGCCAAGCTAACGGTGCAAATGTGTGAGTGAGTGAGTGAGTGAGTGAGTGCGAGCCACCGTTGATCGGCAATTGTGATCTTCCTGCTNTGAGCTGAGCTGCACTGGACAGTCAATTGCCAAGCTAACGGTGCAAATGTGTGAGTGAGTGAGTGAGTGAGTGAGTGCGAGCCACCGTTGATCGGCAATTGTGATCTTCCTGCTGCTGCTGCTGATGGTGATGATGATGATGATCCATTGGCATTGCCGCCAACCGCTCGTCATATCCATTGCCAGAGAGTAAGCCATGGCCAATGACACGCTTCACTGCAGGCACTAGAAGAGGAAAGGGTGAGAGGAAAGAAGGGATTACCATTAAATAAAGGGAGGAAAAGGAAGAAGAATTGAAAAAATGGCAAATCAAAGCACAAGACAACGCGGTGCAAAAACCCTTTGAGGGTAAAGACCGAAGTAGATAAGTGTATAGAAAAGTAAAATATCAATCTCTTATTGCTGCAAAGTTGGCGCGGCTTGTCAGAATGCCGCCGTCACATTCACTGGATGGATGGATGGATGGTTCGTACAAAACAGAATGTTGTGTCTTTGTGCACAATAATGTAAACAGCTGAGGGAGAAGGGAAAGGGAGTTAGAGCAAAGAGTAGAGAGAGAGAGAGAGAGAGAGAGAGAGAGCGGAGTGTAGAGGCTCTGGGTGATTTAAACGAGGTTTCAGAGTTAGATCAGTGGAAAAAGGGGGGAGAGAGGTTTGTTTGTGTATAAAAAAATGAACAAGGGGTTGTGTGTGTGGTAGAGAAAGCACAGAGCACAGTCAGTGTTGTGTAGTTCGTTATTGGTGTGCAAAGTGTGAGAAAGAAAGGTTTCTGGAGCGTTTCTGTTCCACCACCATCAGCAGGTGATAAAAAAACAGAGCACTGCTCCAGTTTGTACTATAGCAGAGGAAATGGAAGGGGGGGGGATTAGAGCACTCACACACCTCGGACATGGACTACAGCACTACCGTGTACTAATTAATTAGTTCTAGCAGAGTACTTCGGTTGATCGATTGTTTGTTTGTTTGTTTGATAATAGCCTAGAGTTGAAAGTAGATTAGAGCGGGGGTAGGTAATAAGAGAAGTGAGTAATAATAAATTAGTTAGAAAAAAACTGAGACGAAACGAAACTAGTGAAAAGGGGGGAGAGGGGGTGGGGGTCCTAATATGATATAACAGAAAAGGGGTATAAATGGAGGGGGCGTTCCTGTCGGCGAATTGTGCGAAAAGGTGTGTGGTTGTAAAAGTGGTGTTCTAATGAACATGAGAGAAAGTGGGGAGACAGGCAATCCTGATGAGGGATGAAAAATGAAATGAAAAAACACTAAACAGTAGAGAGTAAAAGGTAGAGAAGGGGAGTATCGAGGAGTAACGTGCAAAATGAGACGGCAAGGAATCAGGAACGTCAGGAGTTCAAAAAGATGAGGAGGTGAAGATGAAGATGATGATGTTGATGATGTTGATGATGACAATGGCTTAAAGGTGGCCGCAAAGATCAAACAAAGAAAATAAATAATTAAATCATCACTGATTGATTCTAGGTTCATTTCATCGCGAGCCTTTTCATCGCATGTCAACTAGTTGCTTGGTTGGTTGGTTGGTTTGGTTTGTTTGTCTGTTCAGCCAAGCTTTAGCAGAAGGTTTAGATGAGGAAGGGAGTGATGAAGCAAATGAGGAAGAAAAGAGGAAATGAATTTCACTACCACTGCTGCGCGTCATTTTTCTCCAGCCAGACAAGTGGATTGATGCTACCGAGTCGTTGAAGCGAAAGAGTTGCTGACAGCCTTGTGAGCTTGGGAACTATTAGCATCATCATCCTCATCATCATCAACCCTATCACCAGCCTCATTTTTATCACCACAGGTAGCAGCAGCAGCAGCAGCAGCAGCAGCTTCTGCAGTCTTTGCAGTGGCGCCAGAAGGCGGAAGAAGCTTCGGGGAGATGGCCTGCAGGGGCACACTGAAGCTGATGCGGGCAAAGCCTCCTCCTTCCTGGTCACTGTCGACGATGACTGAAGGCGCATTGAAAGAAGAAGAGGAGGTGGAGGAGGTGGTGGAGGTCATCGAAGGTATCGTCTCCATCTCCTCCTCTTCCTCCACCTTCTTCACATCTTCAACAACAGCCACCTCCTCCTCTTCACCATCTTCTTCCGCCATCTTCACGACAACTGATGGCGGTGAGGGCGGCGGCGGCTGTGGCTGTGTGCCAATGCTCTGCTGCTGTTGCTGCGAAGGAATGGGGTCCACGCGAATGCTCCTCAGCATGTGCTCCCGGCACTCCTCCGTGATATGGCCGTCGTTGAGAAAGTTCATTACTAGTAGTGAGATCGGGTCGCTGGGAGTGCTCGCGGAGGAGGAGGAGGAGGAGGAATTGTTTGAAGCTGAAGCAGAAGAGGTGGAAGGCTTTGACGAGGTGGTGGAAGAAGATGTGGTGGAAGATGTGGACACACCTCCTGACGTCGAGGGCCCACAACTACTAATCGTTGAAGCGGCGGCGGCTTCCGGCTCAGGCATCAACGCCCTTTTGCAGGTCATCTTAGAGCCGACGTTTGAGGGGGCGGAGGTCTCGGAGGTTTCGGAAAAATCAGCAGCCACCACCACTGCCGCCGCCGCCGCCGCCTCCTTCTCTTCTTCACTCCTCATTTTTTCAGCTGCTGGTGGAGCCTTTTTCTCCAATATTTCCTCATCCGTTGGCCAACGCCTAATCGGCACTCGAAACTCTTCCTCCTCGACACTGGGCTTCCCATTCTGTGAGGTGGTGGTGGTGGTGGCCAAGGCGGCAAGCATTAAAGATGTCAAGCTGGAACCACTCGTATTCGTGCTTTCCAACTCTTTTACCCTCGGATTAACGCCCACTACTGCTGCTGAGGGCAGCACCACCGCCGAAGAGGCCGCCTCCTTCGTCGTCGTCGAGACGAGCTTCCCGTCGATGACGACGGTGGTGGTGCCGTCGGGCCGCCGTGTGACTACCTTCCGCTTGCCGCCCGGCGGCTCGATGAAGGAGATGGTGGTGATGTGCTGGTTCCCCCCGGTGGTGTCCTTGCTGAAATGGAAGTTGCCCACCACCTCGTCCCCCGTCGAGTAGTGGTAGCTGTAGACCATGCCCGGCTCCAGGGGCTTCGCAGGCGCCCGCCGCTCCTCATCGGCGAGCCGCTTCCGCCGCTTCTCATCCGCCAGCCAGCCCATGTGTCGGATTTCCGCCGTGGTGGGCGTCCGGTCCTCTTCCGTCTGCTGCTGTCGACTGGTGCTACTAGCTCGGCCTGCGTTCATCAGCCGACTGATGTTGGGAAAGCCGCCGCCCTTTTTTGCTGAACTCGGCGCAGAGGTTGAAGTTGAAGTTGAAGTTGAAGAGGAGGAGGCGGAGGAGGAGGCGGCGGCACCGGAAGTTGAGGCTTGGCCACTCTTGGCGGTTACCCGACCCACCGCCGGCTCTGCCAGGGAGGACTTCGAAGAAAAAGTCTTCGAGAGCGACTTGTCGCTGAAGCCGCCGCCGCCATTTCCCAAAGACCGATTGCCGTAGAAGGAGCTCGTCGAAACCGAGGTCCCCTCCCCCACCTCCACCTCACTCGCCTCATCCGTCTCAAAGTCCAGCACAATGAGCTTCGTCTCCTCGGTGCCATTTCTCGAGCCGACCGCACAGACCAACTGCGTGCTGGAGGCGCGGATCCGCCAGACGACCCCGCCGGAGCCACCCGACGGCAGGCTGACCAGGTTGCGGATAAACTCGCCCGTCTTCAGGTCCCACAGCTTCACCGTCCCATCGTCCGAGGAGGTGATGACAAAGTTGGAGTTGAACTGCAGACAGGTGACCGCCGACTGGTGCTTGTGGAGGCCGCTGAGCGTCTGCAGGCACTGCCCCGTGGTGATGTCCCACACCTTGACGGTGGAGTCCGCATTGCCCGACACCAGAATGTTCCCCCGCAGCTGCATGCCCGAGGTCAGAGACTGGTGGCCCACCAGGGTGTGCCGCAGCTTGCCCGTCTCCGCCGACCAGACGCGGATGCTGGTGTCCAGCGAGCCGGAGACGATGTGCACGCCGTCAAACTGCAGCGAGTAGACGCGGTTCGTGTGGCCGTCCAGCGTGTACAGGCAGGTCTCCGTGGCCACCGACCACACCTTCACCAGAAAGTCGTAGGCGCCCGAGACGCAGAGCGTCCCGTTGAACTGGACGCAGCGGACGGCCGCCAGGTGGCCGACCAGAATGTGCTCGCAGGCGCCGGTGAGGATGTTCCAGGCACGGAGGGTGGCGTCCCGGCTGCCCGAGACGACGTACCGGCCGTGCAGGGCCATGCAGCGCACCGTGCTGGTGTGTCCGTAGAGGACGTGCAGGCAGCGGCCGCTGATGGCGTCCCAGACGCGCAGCGAGCGGTCCGTCGAGCCGCTGATCACCACATTGTCCGGCGACAGCTGCGACGACCAGACGCCGCCGGTGTGGCCGATCAGTGTCAGCAGACAGCGCCCGGTGACGCTCGACCACACCTTGAGGGTGTTGTCGTCCGACCCGCTGACGATGATATTCGAGGCGGGGTTGAACTGCAGACAGGTGATCACGTGGTCCTCGTGGCCCTTCAGGTAGAGCACGTCCTTGAGCTTGCGCGGCTTGAAGGTGCGGCTTTTTGTTGCTGTTGCCGTTGCTGCTGCTGCCTGGCAAGCGTTGGCAGCAGCCTGCTCTTGCTGATCTTGCTGCTGCTGCTGCTGTTGTTGTTGTTGGTTGACATTTATGTTGTTGTTGTTGGCTGCGCCGGCCATGTTCGAAGTGTCCGCCCCCTCGCCGTGGTTCAGCTCCCCGTAGCGCCAGTTGTGCTCGATGGTCTTGTAGCGGAGGTAGGCGAGCTTGTAGTCGGACACCTGAAACTGCTTCATCTCCGGCTCGTGTTCCTCCTGCTCTTCCTGACTGCTCTCCGCCTCGTCATCAGCAAAGAAGAACTCTTCCCCATCACCACCGTCATCATCAATGGGAGTCACTGCTGCTGTTGATAGTTCATCCGCCGCCGCCGCCGACGAGGCTTCCTCGCTGACGGGCGAGCCCGGGTTGTTGGCGGATGTTGCTGATGCCTGGTGGATGGAGCTGGCCGGCGAGCTCGGACTGGGACTTTCCTCGCCCTCCACCACCACCACCATCGCTTCCTCCGCCTCCGCCTGCGTTGAATCCTCCGAATCGACGACCATTTGGCTGATGCTGCTGCTGTTGTTCCAAGCGTCAGCATAACTTGATTTGGACTGCTGCTGCCTCTCGGTGGCCCTCGACACCACCGAGGGATAGGAGTAGGTGGCGTGGCGCTGGCGGAAGACGCTGCTGAAGGCCTCGGTGCCCTCCAGGAGGCCCTCCTCGCGGCACTTCTCCCGCCAGAGGAGGTTGTCCTCGCAGAGGATGCGCCAGTAGCGGCAGGCCTGCGCCGCGCGCAGCAGGTGCTCCGGCTCGAGGAAGGAGAGGACGTAGAGGGAGAGCTCCTTGGGGAGGAGGGAGATGAAGTCCCGCTGCATCAGCGGCTCAATCAGCCCCAGCAGGTGGCGCATCTGCGTCACCTCGCAGAACTTGCTGGTGACCAGCGAGTCGAGGGCGGTGATGCGCTCGCTGTTCGACCAGCCGTTGAACGTCTGCAGCCACTGGGCGAGGCCCGGCGGTGGGCCCTTTGGTTTGATGGTGGTGGTGGTGGTCGTGGTGGCGGTGCTGGTGCTAGGCCCGGCGATGGCCATTGATTGTAGAGTGCTAGGCACTTTGGAAAGCGGCGAAGCACTTTTGACCTTGGCTGAGAATTGGCTGAGGCTGCCGCTGCCGCTGCTGCCCTTGCCGATGGAGCTGCTAGAGCTGCCGACATTATCACCCGGAGAGAGTTTATGCTGTTTGGTGGCAGAAGTGCACGGCTCCGGATCTTCGGATGTACGCTTTCTCGTGGCACAGCCTTCAGGCAGGTCCTGAAGGGGAAAGGGAAAGGGTTGATTAGGATCACAGCCAGGCATTTGTTTACAACTATTACCAGAACCATATTTTCTGCTGAAAGTGGTGGTGAGGAGTGGTCAGTAGGAGAATAATTGGCAATGGCAGGAAGACGGTGCAACAAGAAGGCGTAGCGAAATTGGAAGAAAAGTGTGTAGAGGCAAAAAGATGAACGCTTAGAGCTCAGAGAAGGAAGGAACACAATCTGGGAAAAAGAAAAGAAGAAAACGGATGAGTGAGCAGCTGTGTACGCAATTTTGCAAGCCACGGTGGTCTCCCAAGGACAGAAAAAAGTCTTGGGAAAAGCCAAAAAGTAATCTCGCTTACCTAAACAACAAAACCTGGAAAACGATAATATCCTCAACAGAGTAGAACCAAAACAGCGAGGTAGGTAGTGGAAGAGAAGAGGAAGAAGAAGAGGCCTACTGATGATCCGAGTGGATGAAGGTGGTGGGTGATCACGAGGAGCAGTTGGTCGCTTTCGTCGCAATCACTGGTAACAATATGCTGCAACCAAAACAACTTTGATAGCAGGCAGAGGAGCGGGGATCCAACCAACCAACCAGCCAAACACACACACACACACACACACAGTTGCTCTGCTGCTGATGCAACACACTCACAAGTTGCGAGCTGATAGCCACCACTGCTGCTGCAACTTCGATGTTGATGATCAGATGGTAGTGGTGGTGTGCAGAAAAAAGGAAACACGTCCTTGCTGAAGCACCGCCGAAGTGGTGAGGATGATGATGATCTTCAGGCGCTCCTACACAGAGGATAATCCTCTGCACAGGTCCATGGTCCGAGGGTGACAGAGAGACCTGCTGTTGCTGATGATGATGATGTTTCTGTTTCTGTTGATGTTTCTGTCTGTGAGGTGCAGTGCAGGAGACCAGCCAGGGACCAACAGAAACAAAGAGGGAGAGCGAGCAGCAGCAGCAACAGCAACAGAAACAGCAACGGAGGAAGGCAGGACTCTCGCTGCTGCTGCTGCTGCTGCTGCTGCTGCTTCGTTTTCTTATGTCCACAGAAGCAGCGCTGACTCGCGCAGTGGCGAAACGCACACACGTCGAAATAGTGTTTTGCTCCTTTTTTTCGAAGACTTCGAAAAAAAGGAACAAAATGATCTCCTGAGACATCAGAGATCTGATAACTCCATTCTTATCAAGTACTCGTCGTAGGGCTTTGCTGGGCTGGGCTCTGTTTATTATTCTCAATCTTATTTCGAAATTGGCAATAGAAAAAACCTACTGTACAGACGACAGAGTCGAAGCAGATCGGCGATGGCTCTAACATTTGTTGGTTTGTTTGTGTTGTTTTGTTTTGATTGCAAAGTTCAGCTTACCTCTCAGCGTGTTAGAAAATAGTGAAATCAGTCTGTTGGAGTTGGAGTACAAAACTCTCGCTGAGAGCGAGAAAAGAGGAGTGAGAAAAGAGGAGTGAGGTGGAGCAATGGTGCAATGTTGGTATTTGAAGAATGTGATGAACTCGGACGATACGGTCAGTCAGACGGTTAGGAGTGGGAAATGGGAGAGAGAGGATGTTGTTGCTAGAGCTTAGCAGAGCAAGGAATAAGGAAAAGGTGGTGTATTGTTATTAGGTAGTAATAATAATAATAGCGATCAGAAGTGTGAGTGAGAGTGTTCAGTGTTCAGTGTGTGTGTGTGTAAGATACAAAGAAAATAATCTTCTTCCTTTTGTACAGTGTGTGTGTTAGTGCTGGTGGTGTTGTGTTGTAAAAGCAAAAAGGGAAGCGGGGAGGAGTGTTGTACCTTGAGTGAGAGAGAGAGAGAGAGAGAGAGAGAGAATGGGAAAGACAATTTAAAGGGGTGGACAAAAAGAGAGACAATAATTAGGTAAACACCGAGAGAACGCCACGTTGAATCGAATCGTTGAATCGTTCAGGTGGTGCGTTTGTTGTTGCTCACTAAAGAGAGATCTCTCCTCTAACATTGTTGTTGTTGGATGGCAGATGGGTGGCTGCTGCTGCCGCTGTTTTTGATTGCGCGTCTGCAAGTTCCCTGCCCTTCCTCCTCTCCTCTCCTTCCTCACGTGCACCTTCCACACACCTCCGTCTTCCCTGTTGGAATCCATCTTCCACCTTCCTCATTCCTCAGTCCATCTCTTGACTTTTCCGCACGCACTGGGCGACTCTTCGCTTGAAGCTGGGATAGTTCTGACGCAGCTCTTTCTGTAAACGGTAAAGGGAAATGGGGTTAATCTTCGGTTACACTTTCTTTCCTCATCAGCAGGNCTTCCTCCTCTCCTCTCCTTCCTCACGTGCACCTTCCACACACCTCCGTCTTCCCTGTTGGAATCCATCTTCCACCTTCCTCATTCCTCAGTCCATCTCTTGACTTTTCCGCACGCACTGGGCGACTCTTCGCTTGAAGCTGGGATAGTTCTGACGCAGCTCTTTCTGTAAACGGTAAAGGGAAATGGGGTTAATCTTCGGTTACACTTTCTTTCCTCCTCATCATCAGCAGCAGCACTTACCGCAGCATCAACATTTGCCGGCGACTCATCGTTGGGATCGGCGAGCATGGAGATGACGGAGATGAGTATCGTCTCGACGGTGTGCACCGGTAACCAGCGTTCGGAGGCCTTCTCGTAGCCGTAGCGGTCATCGCCCGGGTCGTGGAGAATGGAAATGCAGACGCTACCGTTCTTGTCGACTGCACAAATAAAGGTAGGAAAAAATGTAAGTAAAGTTTCGAAAACATAAAACACACTCTCGTTTGCTTACTATTTGGATGCCAGATCTCGGTGAGGAAGGTCATCTTTGGCGGCTTTAATGGGTACTCCTTGGGAAATATCAGCCTGGCTTTGAAGAAACCTCCCTCGCTGTGGATGGATTGAAACGAGTTTCAGTTAGTGAGTTAGTGCACAAAAGGCCAAACTTCAAACTGGCTCAAACTTACTATAAAGTATCAGGCGGACCAATGATGAGTACCTCCCAGGAGTAAATATCACTATCATCACAGAGACCAGCGGAAAAGCCTTCAACTGGGTGTTTCTTCAAGTCTGTTGAACAAAAGTGGTGTGAAGAAAAGAGGTTAGTAGTCAGTGTTGAGAAGCCATCATCATCATCACCACCAAAGCTTACCATTTAGCTGCTTCCTTAAGAGTAGGCTGGATTGCGGTTCACCCATCTCTGCAGTGACAGTGGAAGGTGAAGTAGGAAAACTGGTGGTGGTGGTGAGTGGAGTAGACAGGACTTCTGCGCCGAGTGGGAAAAGGATTGAAAAGGATGATGAAAAAACGGTGATCAGATTCAGAAGAGTGTTAGTAAAATGTCGCTGGAAAGATCTCTCTCTTCAAAATCAGCCACCAAGACCGAATGAGAAAAAAGTCTACGCAGTCATCCCCACCACCATCACAACCAACATGTGCTCATCGGCTTTTGGCAGTGGTGGCGGTGGTGGTGGTGGTGGTGGTGGTGAAGAAGTACGCCGACGAGCAGAAGATAACGCTCACTCACACACACACAGACAGAGAGCGAGCTGAACACCAAAAGGCATGGCAAGTGAGAGAGGCAGCAGCAGTGGCGGCCGCAGTTCCCCACCCAAAGGGGCCAAGAAGAAAAGAAAGCAGAAATGCTCAAAAGTAGAGCTCCAGCTTGAAGATGGTAGAAAGGACTCACCCGAGGTTGGAAGTTGGACTTCAGGAGGAGTTCAGTCGGAGGAGGAGGAGGAGGAAGGGGTTGATGGAGGTGACGGTGATGTGAGGTTCGGCGGCCGGCGGTGCTGGCGGTAGTGCTGCTGCTGGTGGTGCTGGGCAAACGGTGGCTTCGAGCGAAGCGAAGCAAGAGACGACACACACACTATTGTCTGCCGACCAGAGCGAGAGAGCGAGTGAGTGAGGGAGAGAGAGAGAGAGCAAGTGAGCGAGTGAGAGAGAGAGAGAGAGAGAAAAGCTGGAACTGGCCTGCTCGAAAGCATCGGTTCAAAGATGGCGCTCAAGTACATTTCTGAAAAAAAAGTTCTAAAATTTAATAACAAAAAATGCAAAAACTTGTATTACGGCACTAAACTGTGCAAAAACGTAATTTGATTAAAGTTAAAACAATTAAAAATGAAAATAAAAATGTATAGCTTTCAGCTGTGAGCTGGCCAAAATTGCTTAGACCAGTACTTTTTTCGACTTTTTGTTTGTTTGAAAAGGAGAAAAAATCTCGAATATTCCGAAAACGCTACCGAACTAGATTACTTCTTTAGGCGAGAGTTTTAATTTTTTTCAATAATTAATACAGGGTGAGTTGGTATATATTTTACAAAGTAGTGTGTGTGTGTTTCATTTCAAATAGTAAGACACAGAGGGAATTGCAAAGTTGCAGAAGGGCAAGAGAGAATTGAGCCAAATTCTCCTTTCTCCATTCCTCTTCCTCCTCACGACGTCTGCATCGGCGGGACGTAGTTCTGGTGGATCATCTCCTCCTTGTTGATGAGGTGGTTGATCTTCCCCACCAGGTGCATCAGCTGGTCGATGCTGCTCGACCAGTCGTTCAGCACCTCATTGGGGTCCTTCGACTGGGCGAACTTGACGATGCCCTCGGAGCGGTTGATCTTCGCCCAGATCGTCTTCGAGACGACCAGCGCGCTCAGCGCCTCCTCCGTTGCCTAAGTGTTACATTTTAGAAACAAAAGATCATTTGCTAAAACTCTAAATCTCTGCCCTTACCTGAACGCTCAGACCGAGCAGCTCCGCCATTCGCTTCAGACTGAGCTTGCTGTAGTACTTGGCCATGACGCGAATGTTCTGCGCCGAAAAAGAAAGTGATTAATAACAAAACTTTCCCATTTTCACAAAAGAACACTTACATGCTCCACAACGCGACTCTTCAGGTCGCCCCAGCGGCGGTTGCCCAGCTCGGTGGCGGCGGCAAAGACGCCGGTGGGCTCCGCCTCGAGGTCGCCGCTTTTACTACTTCCGTGGCGCAGCAGCTGCGCCACCGAGGCCTCCCAGGCGCTCCAGTTGATCAGCTCCCAGGTGGTGAAGAGCTTGAGAATCTCGCCGTAGTGGGGAATCTCATCCACCAGCGGCTTCTCCCCCTTCAGGCGGTTGATCAGATCGGACTGCTCATTGTCGAAGGGCGCGAGGACGATGTAGACGACGGCGTTCTTGAGGACGGCGGCCCGCTTCGCCGGGTCGGCCTTCACCGAGGCCGTCCCGTAGATGGCCAGGTAGTGCTTGCAGATGCGAAGGAAGGCGTCCTCCTGCTGGTCCAGCTCAATCATCAGCTGGTAGTACTTGAACTTGAGCTCGGTCATCGCCTCGTCGCCGCCGCCGCCCTCCTCGAAGTACTTCACCTGCACCTTCTTGCTGATGATCTGCGTGCGGACGTAGTCCGCCTTGGCCAGGCAGAGGCGCATCTGCTCGAGGATCAGCTCCACCTTCTCGCGCTTCTCCATCGAGCCGTACGTCTCCACCTGGAGCTCCTGCAGGACGGTGGCCGCCTCCTCGATCTTCCCCTCCGCCTCGCGCATGTGGGCGAGCTTGAGGGTGAGCCGGGCGCGCTCCACCTCGACGTAGATCTTGCCGGCGGTGACGGTGCGCAGCGTCTCAATTAGCTTCAGCTGCGCCTCACGGTCCTTGACCGCCTCCACGTAGGTGACCGCCTCCTGGATCATCTTCGTCACCGACTGCTTGATCTGCGAGCGGCGCTTGGTGAGGTTGACGATCTGCTCATTGAGGGCGGCCAGGTCGCCCGCCTCGAAGCACAGCTTGACGATGGCCACGAGGACGCGGCTGTTCGAGTGGGTGTCTGAGCCCTGAAAGCGAGCAATAAAAAGAGATTTAGAAACTGGTGCTTTATAGTTGATAGCTTCAAATGACTTACAGTGCGAGACTGCTTCTCCAGCGAGAGGAGAATCTCCAGGGCCTCGTTCAGCTTTCCTTCCTGAAATTGGAATCGAAACAGATGAGTGACCCTCAATCAATGCTTAAAAAAGAAAAGAAGTTCCCTGCCTTACCTTGGCCAGCTTCTCGCAGATGGGCAACTTCTCGGTGACCGTACTGCTGTAGTCCACCTCCATCTTGACGATCTTTCCGCCATCCACAAAAAGGTCATCGGCCATCTTCAGTTTTCAGGTTGTAGTGGTGGTAGTAGTAAACAATAAAA